GCAGACATCAAATCAGTCAGCCTTACACATCAGCCATCAATTCCTTCAAAAAATGAGAAACATCACAGGCACATACAGTAAAAAACGGAACCAAATACCGCGGAGAATCCTATCCATAGCCCACCATACCAAACAGAAGGCAACCCGACAAGTGATTTCCACGATTACCGCGCAGGTTCTGCCGAGTAAACAGCTATTTCCGATTCCACGAGCCAGGGATCAAAGTTTTGAATTATTTAATGCGCCTGTTGCCGAGGGCATGCTGACGCGGCAAAGTTTGTGGGCTCAAACAAAACGTTGTCCATATCTATGCACAGTGGTTTAAGTGGGCAGCACTGTAGCGCATGACATCACTCGTCGGCTGAGGCCGGCGAAATCGGCTCCGGTAGCCCTCTTTCGGGCAATATCCGAAGCATTAGGCGAAGGGCTACGTGGAAATGGGACAACATCCCAAACCATGGATTCCACGCTCGCTGGACTTTATGAATACTGTACTTTATGAACACTGGACTTTATGAGCACTGGCTTTTATGATTCTCCTTTGTCCAAGGGTTTTGGACGTTTTCTGGATCTTATAAACGCAAGATGCTGCGATTCTGGACTTTTTGACCGCGGGACTTTATGAACTCTGGACGTTTCAATACGCATCCGTTGAGCTACGCAAGGACCGGTGGTAACACTCACAGGCTGCGGGGAGGTTTAGTCCGCTACGTCAAGGCGGTCGTTTGGTACCGAGAAGACGCTCGCTAACAACAGGCCGTCGTCTCTATCCCCATCCCTTTTTCATTCACTTACTGCTAGTGATACAGATGTTGTCTCTGTAGCATTACACACCAGTTTTGCACAGCTCAATCTATCTACTCATGTTTGCAAGTCGATATGAAATGCTAATTCAAGGTGGCGGGGTGGGCAAATGAAATGCGTGTAAATGCTATGACAACTTTCAGCGCCTCTAACTATTTCATGGGACCATTATGTGTATCCATCCTCAACAACTACCTTCTAGTTGACGATAAAGCAGTAAAAAACTCGTTAGTGTTTTCATGCTTACACCATCTGCATACATAGGGACATCTGCAGTCCCTGAGTACCTCACTCAGTTGGTGCCGATATTTGGTTTGCTTACCTGCATACATTTCGCACAAAGTTTACCCCCCCCCCCCAATCCCCAATTTTCAGAACTTATTGGCGCCGAACGTAGCTTTGTTCTACCTTAAGCATGCATCCGATTTCCCTAGTTTACAAGCGATCTTCCTCAAACCTACTGGACAAAACTGCTTCATGTCGTAAAAGGCAGCATATCATCCTGTCATGAACGGCGGATGGAGGTATTTAGGGGTAAACCCAAGGTTCCTTTAGTAGTGAAGACTTCATTCCGTCATCTTACATAGCCTTGATTCCTCTGCACGACTGCTTACAGTCCTCTTAGCGCGTGCTTATGGAGTGCAACTGTGAAAGCACATGTTTATTGCATGATGCATCCTTTTTTAAGTGTCCCAGGATCGGCCAATGGACCCCCGTGTCGTCAGAACGGCAGCCGGGAACGCACTCTGTACTCGAACGAAATGGCTCTTCAGCCCTGGGCCGGTGATGATAATGTGCCCCCTAGTGTTCTACGCACGGGGCTCCTTGCCCTGAAGGCTAAAAGGTCGGAGAAGTGATAAATGTAGTGGATCAAAACGAGATAAAAAGGAAAATGGTCAACTCGTGCTTGACTGCGAACGCTATCTTTTTTGCAGAATTTAAGGAGCTCAATTTAACTCGCAAAACAACTCGCAATTTAAGGAGCAAGAACAGCAATGGCCGGTGGTCTAAGGGTCAAAATGTCAAAGGGTTCCCTGTCAAAATGCAAGGCAATAGAACACTGCTTGAATGTATGCAGGTGGGCAAACCAAATATCTGAACCAACTGATTGAGGCACCCAATGACTACAGATGTCGGCATGTCCGCGAACGCTATGAGCGTGAAACACTAACGAGCTCCCTCATGATTCATGGTCGACTTTGCGAAAGTAGTTGTTGCCGATGGCTGTACACATTGGTACCTTGAAATCGTTAGAGATCCTCATCTGTATGAATGTATTTCAATTCATGTCATCTGGTCACATCACTTAAAATCGTTTCTAATGTTTTTGGGTGGCACACAAAAAAGCTATACACCCACACCAGCAGATGAAGGTAGCAGAGACCAGACCGCAACTGAGTTTGTCTGACAAAATCTAAACACGGGAGTGGCAGAACAGCCTGAGGAGCATCCCAGACCAGCCACGATTGGTGCACTTAGATTTCAGCCCTATGGTGTTGCACAAAAAGAAACTGTACAATCGAGCCCACCTCCCTCGCCGAACTTCTCAGAGGATTTTAAAGCATATTCATAAAAGGGTGGTAGATTCTTGCATGTTTATCTCTCTGGGGCTGCCCTTATTGGAAAGGCGTAGTTTTTATCTTCGTTTGGATTTTTCCATGCCAATTACCTATTTTCTGTATCAGCATGATATCAAAACAAAAGAGAAATTAAAGGCGCAGGGCATGATGGCTGGTGATTCAGTTGTTATGGTGCAGCCTGTCAATGAGTTGCAATCATGCTCGAGGCAAAGTTAGCATAACATGGCAGGATCGTAAATAGTTATGTCTTCTTCCAGGTTGTGGGATTTACAGCTATACTAAGTTCGAAAATGTTGTCAATTTAGCAGAAAACTGGTATATTACCTACAAATACAAAGCATCCCAATGGTATGTATTCATTATCAACGAGGTAAACATGGTATCTATAAGCACGTATGGTTTCTAACAGCATGTTTCCGGCTTCAACTTGAAGAAACAAGTACTCTTGGCTTGGTACAACTGTGAGTGATAAATCCATAAAAAGCTTCGGGGTTCAAAACAAGCACTGATACATGATGTGAAATGTGTCCTGTTTCATTCCGCTCTCCATCCAAAACTCAAAATTTGAACACACCGGATATCGATTGTTTAAGGGTAATAAATAGATATTACTTTAGCCGGAAGAATGGCAGATGCAGCATATCCCTCAAGTTGTCCTGGATGATACAAACTAGTAGGTAGTGCGCATGGTGTGATCATGAGTTCCTTTAAAACCATTTCCTTATAAAACAGCTACCTCTGATCGTTTAAATACATGTGTTTCAACTGTTGTTACCACACTGTTTATGTTGTACAGCTTATGTCAGCTAGCCAGAGTTGTACTATCTTTCCTTGTAAAAATATCAGCAATAACATTTTTGCGGCTTGGTGGGAATGTTCCGTACCCGCTGTCGCCGATGCTGGAGAGTCTATTGTCGCGGCCACGGTATATCCCGCTCTCCCTGCCACGGAAGAAGCCCCCGTAACTACCGTGGGGAACTTTCCCCATGGCCACGGAGGTAGCCACTTGCTCTGCCGCGTGGAAAACTACTGGTTTTGAAAACTGGAGCGGTCGCCAGCTGCGTAACGCATAAGGCGATGCCGGCACTTCCACAAAGGGAGCCGTCGATCCTAGCTACCAGAGAGAGAGCTAACGGCGTCATCGGAGCGGGGGGGCCCACCGTTTCAGGTGCTGTACCTAAAACGCGATAGGGGTAATACCAAGCATTCCTCGTTAGGAAGGAAAGCTGAAAGCTGAAAACTTCGCGACATGAAGACAACCCTGGACTGTGCATCGGTTCTCCACACACGAGATTGGGTAGTCAAACTGGAATCTGGCGGACAGCGTGACGCGAAGACGGCTTCCTGAGTGGAAAAGCGAAAAATGTGCATCCTTACTGTCGCAAATTGAGGGGACGCGAAGTCATTGCAGGGGAATTGGGATGCCCCTCCGCCCACACACCACTTCCGGTGTTAACAAACATGCCGTTGCTGCCAAACATATTTTGTGTTACGTCAAGCATGATCCACACCTTTACGTCCCTCGTCCCAGCCAAAACGATGTCCGGTAACCGTCAATACGTACTCTGGCATCAAGCTGAGAGAATCCACCAAACACGACAGGTTTTCGCCTCAACGACAACTGAACACGAATAGAGCATTTAAATGGAATGTTCCACATTTGAAGATATTGAGGTAAGCATCAGATACGATAAAATCAGCTCAATTGTAACAAATGGTTTATAGTTAAACGAAAAATACTGCTCTCGACAATCAGTAATTATCAAATATGTTCATGAACGCGGCATCGCTTAAGTATATCGAGAGACGCGGATGTTTCCTGTTGCGCGCTTGCTGAGCCGGAAGATTGTCCTGCGCTTGCGGTTTAGTCCTTTCTTGTGTTTTGTATTCGTCCTGGACTTTGTATTACTTTCCTTCATTTATATATGGCGCTACTCTTACGCTCTTCGATCCCAGTCTTCTTTCAATCATTACTCTTACCACTGCACAAATCCTCGTATCACGTAGCACAAAAGGGATTTGTGTTCGAAACTTGCACTCAACACCTTAAAATGGTTCAAGGCCAGCTGCTGTCCGTTGATGCCACGAATCGTGCTGATGTATGCCAGACACGAAAAATTTTATAATCATGTTCGTATTAACCTTGAGCACTGCACGGCCAACAAGGTGATGTCATTTGCGTGATGTGTCGATGGCGTCGTGGATGTCTGATTGACTTGGAAATAGTCTGTCCAACAAGAGGACTTAAAGTCTTCAAAAAGGCGTGGCTATGAACTGCATGGAATGGTGAAAACTTAGGATGCATGTGTTCGCCACCCTTTCATTGCATACATGCATACCAGCGCTTCCAAGCATATTTTGTATTACGTCTAAGCAGATCCACACCTTCACGTTCCTCGTACCAACCAAGCTCGGTAAGCTGTAAATACGTACCCTTGCATCAAGCTGAGGAAATACACCAAAGATGACAGGTTTCGGGTGTAACGGCATATAAACAGGACATTTGGGAGCGAATCAGAGATGAAAAGTCAGCATGTGATCGCGGGTGAGCAGGCTCAGAGGCACGCGAGGTGGTTCGGGTGAAGAGAGCTGTACGAGTAAGAAACGCCCTACGAGCCGTACGTGCCCTGGAACGTGACGGAAGCGCCGGAGGCAGCGTACGTCTGAGGGTAGACACCGAGAGCAGCTGCGTTGTACGGACGGGCGTGTTCAGCATTGGCGGTGGACACCTCAGGGGTATCGCCGATCGGTAGAGTGCTGTGTTACTTGCGGTAGCCGTTCTTGGTAGCAGCAGCGTCGGCGGGCGTCTTCACGTCGGTGACGGCAGCCGCCGGCAGGTTGGTGCCAGACACGCGGTAGCCGGACTCGTCCACAACGTAGTCGACCGTCTGTTTTACACCATTGAGGTCCACGTAACTAAACGAGCCCTCGATAGGAAAGACGGGGATTTTGCCGTCGAACTTGGTGCTGAAACCATCGTCCGGGAGGCGGACACCTGCCGGGACGTTGGCAGCGATGTCCTTATAGATGGTAGTAGCGTATTTGACATAAGGGGCGGCTAAGTTGGTCCAGTATCTGGCCGCGTCCGGTTGCACCGAGTAGGCCAGGCCGCTGTAGGGCAGGGCGTTCTGGGCAGCCGCAACGCCCAGGACAGCGCTCACTACCATCTGAAAAGGACAAGCCAACCAATATTTGTTGTTGGAAGGAGCAGGAAGGAAAGAAGCAATGTCAAAGAACATTGTTGCTGAAAATATGAAGTAGACAAAGCCTGTCATATATTTTCCGAGCCATTGGCGCCCAGTGGAAAGATAAGATCGCAAATATTCATAAAACAACCAAAAGACAAAAGGCATTCCAGTTATGTTAACATGTTTTTCAACATCTTGCAGCTGATGTCACCCGATGGACATAAAACAGTTGCGTTTTGCAACGAAGCAGTGGCTTTGGAGAAATATTTTTGAATTTCTAAATCACTTTACTTAAAGGGATTGCACCAAATTTGTGTGGGGCTTTGAACTGAGATACCCATCTTCATGATCGTTCTCTGAAGTTTACAGGAACAGCCATGTCCGGTTGAAGACTTTGGATTCTCTTCTTTCTGAGCTTCATGCAAGTAAACTAGGAACTTTACGCAGGCATGTATGTCATCATAATAGCCAGGTGAAAACCTCATAATATTGGATATGATGTACTTCTGGTGAAGACATGGCCATTTAAGGCATTCGTGTTTATGGTGATGCATGCAGAACAAAAGACAATGGATAACGGTGGGGCAAGACTACACGAACCTGGGCGTCTATTCGCCAGGGCTTCGCTTGCACAGGGACCCCTCTGCGCGTTATGTGCTAGGCGCTCGAGCGGGGGCCGCACAACGGGATATTTGGCTTATTCATGGCTGATGCGTGCCGCCTGCCCTGAACTTCGGACTTGCAAAGTCCCATGGGGTCGCATTGCTGCATCTAACCATAGGGAAGTCACTAGTCACTTGCTACTGAATGCTTAATTCATGATGATTCTCTGCACTTTACCACTATGACCCTGTCTGGTTTAACACTTCAAATCCGTTTGTTTCTGAGCTTGACGCACGTGAACTTGTGCAGCCTAGTACCCATAACAACGCCTAGAGGAATTTGATCCAGAGAGGTATGTCATCATAGTCACGTCACGTGAAAACCTACTTTCACTGTCATCCCGACGAGTGCAGGATAAAGGGAAAAGGGATGCAGTGGGAAATGTCGCGATCACGGACGGCTTTACACCTAGGTAAATAGCTATTCGGGCAATTGCTAGATGTGTCAGACAAAAGAGAGAGAAAGTAACCCAGGAATAGGGCCGTAATACAAATTTCAACTGCAAAATCGAAAATACGATCACGAAAATTGCAACAATACCACGAGAAACGGCCAAATCGCTTGCACACAACCCTCCTAGATTGTATTTGTATTCATAGATGAACGCTGCCACCGTGCGGTATGTCAAAGCACTACAAGTGAGTCTCGCCGTCCGCTACAGCTACAACTCTGACGTGGCAACTCTCGCAGTGACTCTGACGTCATAAAAACATTCCGTGATATAATGAACCGATGGTAGGATCAAAATCATACTCATCGCAAAATTGTTACATTCAGCAGACATTTGCTTTTAAAAGCATGAGAAAAATTACTAGTGAGCTTTGTATGTAGTGAGCATATATGGTTGTACATGTATATCATATAAAGTTGCCTTAATATCTCCAGGTGTGGAAACTTCCTTCAAGCTGCCTATTGGGACTGGATCTCCTGATGAAATGAAACAGCTCATCGTGATGCACATCGGTAGCAAGCAACGCAAGCGGAGAACTCACCAGGATTTTCATGGCTGAACTCGCTGGGGTCTGTGATGCTTGTAGACCGGTGCCGGCCAGCTTTATACCGGCTGGAGGCCGTCCTAACTATTGGACCACGCCCGGGGCCAGCGGCAACACTCGCATGCTGGGGGAGGTTTAGTCGGACTGCATCACGGCAGTCGGTGATAGCCCTCGTTTACCCGCCCCCCCCCCCCCCCCCCAAGGTCGGAGAAGAGCCCCATCCCCTGATGCAAATTACTGAGTGATGAGCCTGTTGCTGGAAAGCTCCGCTGGCAATGCTGCAATGTTGTAGATGCTTTTAAGATCGTAGAAGGTTAGCGCCGGCATAGTGCGAGCCGCCGGACGCCGTCGCAGATGGTCGCGTCCGGGTTTTCCTTGCCGTGTCTAGCCATAGGGAAGTCGTTTGCTGCTGAATGCTCCCAATATGACGTCAGTGGTTGGCCGGTATCGCCACGGGATCCCTAGGCACGGTTGTTGTGGGCGCCTGACGCTGGCCTCGTCCGTCCCGGGCGTTATATAAGACATCTATGGGTTGTCCGTGTGGTTGAAGTTGCGTGAAATACTTCAATTTAGTTTTGAGCAGGAAGACAGACGTCTGCAATACGGCAGCAGCCTATGCAGGTTACTGTAAGACTATGTTTGCACTAACGAACCGCTCACAACTAAATAAGAAACAACAAAGTAGAACGCTGGCCTCGTCCGTCGCGTAAGTCGTTGGGGTTGTGTCATATATGTCATATGTATGTTGTGTCGTGGGCTCAATTGGCGTGGGATATCTCATATTGGTTTAGAGCAAGCATACACATATTTGCCACAAAACAGAAGCTTATCAAGGTCACCGTACCACGTGGTACCGTTAACCATTGACCATTCGTTTGGTGCCGAGGAGACGCCTACGAAACTTCAGGCCGCCGTCTCCACCCCCATCCCTGTTACATCCACTTACTACTAGTGATACAGATGTTGTCTCTGTAGCATTACAGACCAGCTTTGCATAGTTCAATCCATCTACTCATGTCTGCAAGTCGATATGAAATGCTGATTCAAGGTGGCGGGGGAAGGCAAATGAAATGCGTTTAAATGATATGATAGCTTTCAGCGCCCCTAATTATTTCAAGGGACCACTATGTGCATCCATCCGCAACACCTACCCTCAAAAAGTACACAATAAAGCACGAAAGAGCTAGTCAGTGTTTTCACGCTTACAGCGTCCGCAGATATCGGGACATTTGCAGACATTGAGTGCCTCACTTAGCTGGTGCTGATATTTGGTTAGCTCACCTGCATACAATCGACACAAAGCTTACCATTCCCATCCCCAATTTTCAGATCTTATTGGCGTTGAACTCACTTTTGTTTTACTTTAAACATGCATCCGCTTTCCCCAGTCTACCAGCGATCTTCTTCAAGCCTGCTGGATACAACTGCTTCATGTAGTAAAAGATAGCATTTATCTTGGCATAAACGGCGGACGGCGGTATTGAAGGGCAAACTCAAGGTTTCTTTAGTAGCAGAGACTTGATTCCGTCAATTTCCGTAGCCTTGATTCTCCTATACGACTGCTTACAATCCCCTCCCACACGTGCTTATGGAGTGCAGCTCTGAGAACACATGTGTATTGTATGATGCATCATTTTGAAGTGTCTCCGGATCGACCAAAGGGCCTCCGTGTCGCCAGAACCGCAGCCGGAACACAATTTGCACTGGGACGAAATGGCCCTTCAGCCCTAGACCAGTAATAATAATGTGCCCCCTAGTATTGTACTCACGGGGCTCCTTGCCTTGAAGGCGTAAAAGGTGGCAGAAATGATGAATGGAGTGGATCGAAATGAGGTAAAAATGAAAATGGTCCACTCATGCTCGCCTGGGAACGTTGTTCCTTTGCAGAATGGACTAGTGAAAGAAGTAACACGAACAGCTTTGGACCCAGAGCCCTCGTAATCTAAGGAGCAAGAACAGCAATGGCCGCTGATATCAGGGATGCTCACCTGTCCGAATGCAGGGCAATAGAACACTGCTAGAATGTATGCAGGTGGGCAAACCAAACTGCATCAACTGGGTGAGGCACCCAGTGACTACAGATGTCGGGGCATCTGCGGACGTTTTTACCGTGAAAACACTAATGAGCTTCCTCACGCCTCATCGTTGACTTTACGAAGGTAGTTCTCACGGATGGATGCCCACAGTGTTCTCTTGAGATCATTAAAGGCGCTGAAAGTTGCCATATTATTTCAAGGCATTTCGTTTGTTCATATCAGTTCAAATGAGTTGTAGTTTTTTTGGAACGCCCACAAGAAAGATACAAACCCACACTTGCAGGTGAAGGTAGCGGTGGCCGGACTGGAATTGAGTTTGTCTAACAAAATCTGCACAGGGGAGGGGGGCAGTACAGCCAGAGGGGGCATCTAAAACCAGCCACGATTGGTGCACTTAGTTTTCAGCCCTATGGCGTTGCACAAAAGGAAACGGTCAAAAATGACCCAAACCCCTCCCGCTGAATTTCTCAGAGGCTCTCATGTCAGATTGACCGGAATGTGGTGGGCTCCTGCCTATCTTTCTCCCTGAGGCTTCTGTTATTTGAGAAAGGTGGCGTTTTTGCCTTTATTTGCATTTTCCCATGCCAATGACCTACTTGTCATATCAGATTGATATCAGAACCACAGAGAAATTACAGGTCAGGTCGTGGTACCTGGTGACTCAACTGTTATGGTGCAGGCTGTTGACGGGTTGTAATCATGCCTGAGGTAAACTTGGCATGACATGGCACAACTGCAAACAGTTGTGACTTCTTTCAGATTGTGTGCTTACAATTATTCTGAGTGACAAAAAGGTGGTTAGCTTGGACAGGAAACTGGTATACTACCTCGAAAAACAAGGTATCCCAATTGTTTATATGTATATATATATATATATATATATATATATATGCATTACAAACGGGAAAATACAATATTTTTGGCACATTTGGTTTCCACCAGCATTTTCACGCTCCAACCCGATGGGATCAATGTTCTTAGCATAGAATAATTGTGACTCATGCGTCCATAACTAAGTTTGTTTTTTAGAACAAACAATGATAACCTATTTGAAACGCTTACTTTTTCATGCCGCTATCCATCCAAAACTCTGCAATTCAACACATTCGATATCTATTGGTTTAGGGTGATGAGTAGATATCATTTTAGTTGTTACAACGGCAGATGCAGCATATCTCCTAAGTTGTCATGGCTGGTAAAGTATCTGCTAGTTAGTGCACATGGTATGATCATTTCTTGCTCGAAAACCATTTTCTTATCCAAGAGTAACCTCTGTTAGTTTGAATGAATATGTTACAAATGCTGTTACCACACTGGTTATCCTGTACGACAGCTATCGCACAGGCACCTCAGCTGGCCAAAGTTGCATTATGCAATCAGAACTATTACCACTGCACAAATCCTCGCATCACGTAGCAAAAGAGTGATTCGTGTTCGAACATTGCACTCACTACATCAGAGTATTTGAATGTCACCTGCTTTCCATTGATGGTGCTAGATGTGTGCCAGACACGAATAATTGTATAATCATATCCGTATTGACCTTGAGCACTGCACGGCCAACGAGGTGGTGTCATTTGCGTAATGTTTCGATGGCATCGTGGATGTCTGATTGACTTCGGACTAGTCTGTCCAAGATAGTCTGCACTAGTTCGCGGATGTCAAGCTTATAAACAAGATGTCTTTAAGCATTCAAAAGGGCGTGGCCATGAACTGCATGGAGTGGTGAAAAACTAGGATACATGTGTTCTCCACCCTTCCATTGAATACAGTCATACCGGCGCTTCCAAGCATATTTTGTATTACGTTAAACACGATCCACATCTTTACGCCCCTCGCTCCAACCAAGGCCGGTAAACTGTAACTGCGCACCCTGACAACAAGCTGAGACAATACACCAAACATGACAGGCTTCCGGTGTATATGCATATGGACACAAATAGAACGTTTGGAAGCAAGTCAGAGATGAAAAGTCAGCATTTGATCGCAGGTGAGTAGGCTCCGAGCACTTACCAAAACATGCGAAGGTAAGGGAGGGGGTTCGGGTGAATACAATCGTACGTTTAAGAAACGCCCTCGGGACGTGCGTGCCCTGGAACGTGACTGGAGCGCCGGAGGCAGCGTACGTCTGAGGGTACACACGAAGAACGGCTGCACTGTACTGGCGGGAGTGCCCAGCATTGGCGGCGGCCACCTCAGGGGTCCCGCCGATCGGTAGAGCGCTGTGTTACTTGCGGTAGCCACTCTTGGTAGCAGCAGCGTCGGCGGGCGTCTTCACGTCGGTGACAGCAGCCGGCGGCAGGTTGGTGCCAGACACACGGAAGCCAGACTTGTCCACAGTGAAGTCGACCGTCTGTTTCACACCATTGAGGTCCACGTAACTAAACGAGCCCTCGATAGGAAAGACGGGGACTTTGCCGTCGAACATGGTGCTGAGGCCGTCGTGTTGGGGGCGTACACCGGCCGGGGCGTTGGCAGCGATGTCCTTGTAGATGGCAGAGGCGTAATTGGTATAGGGGGCGGCTAAGTTGGTCCAGTATGTGGAGGCGTCCGGTTGTACCGAGTAGGCCAGGCCGCCATAGGGCAGGGCGTACTGGGCAGCCGCAACGGCCAAGACAGCGAACACTACCATCTGAAAAAGTGAAAAACTATAGGACGCTGCTGCTCAAAATATTTAGTAGAACGAGCCTGTCACCTATTTTACACGCCATTCGTGCCGAGCTGAAAGATGAGATCGCTATGTTAATAAAACCTCTGTAAGAGGAAAAGGCATTTCGACTATGCTAATACGTTTTTAAATATCTTGGGGCTGATTTTACCCGCGGACAGATGACGGTTCCGTTGTGGCAATGGAGCAGTGAATTTGGAAAGGATTTTTCAAATTCTAAATTACTTCCGGAAAGGGGATGGTTTCACATTTGTATTGGGTTTTGAACTGAGATACCTATCTTCATATTCATTGTCTGAAGTTTACAGCCACAGCCATGTCTGATCTAAGGCTCAAAATCCCCTTGTTTCTGAGCTTGATGCACGTGGACTTGTAGAGCCTGGTAAAGATCGGAACACCGATAGGAACAGTACCCAGACATGCATGTCATCACAGTAAAGTCATGTGAAGGTTTCATCGCATTGGCTGCGTTGCACTCATGGTTGAAATATGGCCATTTAAGTCCCAGTGATTGAAGAAATAGTCAGATTGAGCCGCTAATTGCATGTATTGATCTGGGTTTAGGCGGGATGGATGAGACCCCTTCCGGCCAATCGTGACCAATTCAGACTATAGGGGAAGATGTGTGACGGTGGGGTAAGACTACACGCGCCTGGGGGTCTATCCGCCGAGGCTTAGCCCGGAACCTCTCTGCGTAGTATTTGCTAGGCGCTCGTTCGAGGGCCGCACGAAGGGGGTATATCATTCTCTGTAGTTTACAGCCTTAACCATGTTCGGTTTAACACTTCAAACTCTCTAGGTTCTGAGCTGGATGCACGTTAACTTGTGCAGCCTAGTACTCATAGGAAAACCTAGAGAGATTAGATCCAGAGGCGTATGCCACCATGGCAATACCAAGTAAAAAACTACATCCATTGGCGTCCCGAGGGGCGCAAGATAAAGGGAAGAAGGGATGCAACGGCGAATGTCGCGATCACGGACCGCTTTACGCCATAGGTAACACAGCTATTCGGACACCCGCTAGAGGAGCCGGACATCATTCTGAGAAAAATAACTTAAGAATATCGCCGTATTTGAAGGTGCAACGGCAAAGGCAGAAATACTGTCACGAAAAAATGCAGCAATGCCACGAGAAAAGGCCAAAATCACACGCACATAACGCACATAAGCTCAGTTCATACTCATAGATCAACAATGCCACCACGTGGCACGTCGAAGCATTACAAGTGTGTGTCGCCGTCCGCGACAGCAGTCACTCTGACGTACAACTCTGGCAGCGACTGATGTCATAAAAACGTTGAATAACGCAATGAAACGATGGTGAACCAAATCATATTTTCTTACTGCGAAATGGCTATTGTTAGCAGTCATTCGCATTTAAAAGCATGCGAACAGCTACAAGCAAGCTTTGAGTATCACATCTGAACCTTGCCTTAATATCTTTAAGTGTGGAACAGTTTCTTTGAGCTGCTAACTGAGACCGGATCTCCTGATGAAATGAAACAGCTCATCGTGATGCATATCGTTAGCAAGTATCGCAAACAGAGGACTCACCAGGACTTTCATGGCTGAACTTGCTGGGGTCTGTGATGCTTGTGGACCGGTACCCGCCAGCTTTATACTGGTTAGAGGCCGTCCTAAATGGGAGCCACGCCCTCGCCGACGGTAACACTCGCATGTTGCGGGGAGGTTTAGTGGACTACGTCACGGCGGTCGGCGATAACCCTCGTTACCCGTCCTACAAGGGCGGAGAAGAGCCCCATCCCCTCATGCAAACCGCTGAGTGGTGAACCTGTTACTGGAAAGCTTTGCTGGCCGTGCTACAATGTTGTAGGTGCTTTAAGACAGTAGAATACTATCGCCGGCGTGGTACGATCCACCGGACACTGATGGTTGCACCCCGGGTTTTCCTTGCCGCGTCTAGCCATAGGGAAGTCATTTGCTGCCGAATGCTGCTAATATTACGTCAGTGGTTGTCTGACCTGTATCTCAATGGAATCACCGGCCACGGTTCTTCTAGGCGCCAGACGATGGCCTCGCCCGTCCCGTGTGCCATGTAAAATATATGCGGGATGTCCGGCCGGTTGAAGGCGTGTGGAATGTTTCAAGTTATTTAGGCAAGAATGCAAATGTTTGTAATATAACAACAGCCCATCAACCTCACCGCAGGCTTAGTTTTGCACCAACGAGCCGCTCACAAAAAAAACAAAACAGAACACTCTTCTCGTCTCGTCCTCGGCGGAAGGTGGGAAGAAGAGCAAAGGCTCGGGCGCGTCGTTCATCCTACCCTATCAACACCCAGCCTTCTAAACATTTCAGTTCCAAAGGGAATTGTGCTGCCTTTGGGACTGAAGCAAGACAGCGTTCATGCACAAATGATTAACAACCGCCTAGCCATGCATTTAGAATCTGACATTTCAAACACTGGCGGCACTCATGCTTTGCCTTGATTCAGCGACATCTCGCATCACAGTGAGCTAGAATTGCTTTTGAACCAGGGTGGGAGTGAAAAATAGCATCGCAAACAGACCGCACAGAGGTGAAAAATTCAGCTTACAGAGATTTGAACTTTTGATAGAATCGGTTAGAGATGCTCCAGCAAACGAAGGCATACATTTCAAGATGGCACGGATGTAATACCAGAAACATGACAAAAATGTTAGTTAACATCTTAGGTCATTACAGTGAAACAGAAGACATTAAAGAGTAGTAACTTCTTAGAAGTGTAATGAGCATCAAAAACTATGTAGCACCGATGTTTTGATGCTGCACTTTGCGCTTCACTTCCAAATGATTTTTTTAACACAAAACAAAGCAAAGGAATTCAACAAAAAAACAGTAAGAAAAAATTCAACAAGTATAAAGCATTCAAACAAAAAAGGCTTGGACTCATGCACATCAGCACATCAACAAATTAAACACCACAGCCATGCCTCTGGCTTCTGTTAAGATAGAGTCAGGAATACAAATATCATGTCACTGTTTCTTGCAAAATACTAATGCTTATTTCCATGAAAGTAGCCTAACTAGGCCTGACCTACAGCAGCCCTACCCTTTCTCCCCCTGTCTAACCCATTTGTATCACAGTAAGATTTGTGAGTCGTTGATTTTTGCAAGATTCCTACTGCATAGCCATGGACGTAGCCATGGGCGCCCAGGTTCTGTGGAGCCTTGTATATGCTTGGTGGTGTCAAGTGAGCTCAGTTTTTGATGACGCCTTAAAACCTCCGAAAGGGAAATATGGGTTTGACATGTGTGGTTAGACAATATCAAGCAGGAGTGAAAAACTATCATTAAATACAAGGAAAATAAGTGAAAAACTCCTAAAAAAAGTCGGCAATTCTAGGACATTGTTGGATCGTGCCTGCAACAAGGATGTCAATCACCCAAATGATCATTAATATCAACCGCGACGATATGAAACGTGTTTCGGTATTTACACCGTGCCATTGACAGCACGTACCGCAATCTCGTTTGCTTTAAAGAGATTTAGTAAGTCAATGGTAACTCCATCCCTGCTAAAGGTTATGGCATTTCGGAGATCACCGACCATAAGAAGACTTACGTAAATGGGTGTAGAAACTGATGGAGACGGACAGGCCCCATTTTTTAAGGTGAGGGAGAAGCAATGTTACCTGCCCCACTCCCCAATTACCAGATCTAATTTGTGCTTAGCTTACTTTTGTAGTACCTTGACCATGCATGCCGATTTGGCTTGTTCATCAGTGATATTCCTTAAATCGTACTGGATACAACTGCTTCATGTTGTAAATGGCGAAATATTATTCGATCATTAACGGTGAACGGAGACATTGAGGGGCAAACCCAAGGCTCCCTCAGTAGCAAAGGCTCCATTCTGTCATTGTTATATATCATTGATTTTTCTGCACGGGTGCTTACAGTCCTCTCAGCACATGTTCATGGAGTACAAGATGGTATGATGCATCCTTCAAAGTGTCTCCGGATGGACAAAGGGACACCCGTGTCGCCAGAATGGCGGCCAGAATACAGCCGGCACTGGGACCGAGTGGCCCGTCAGCCCTGCACCGGCAACAGTAATGTGCCTCCTAGTGTTCTACTCGCGGAGCTCTTTGCCAGGAATGCGTAAAAGGTCTCAGGAATGATAAATTGAGTGGATCCAGATTAGGTAAGAAATGAAAAGGCCAACTTATATTCACGTCATAACGTTCATTCTTTCGCAGAATCGACCAGTGAAATAAATAACATAAAACAGTTTTAGACTCTGCGCACTTGCAATCTAAGGTATAGGAACAGCAATGGCCGCGAATATAAGGCATGCTCCCCTGGCCGAATGCAGGGCATTAGCGCACTGCCCAAACGTATGTAGATAGGCAAACCAACTATCTGCACCAACTGAGTGAGACTCTCAATGATTCCGGACGTCGCCATGTCTGCGGACGCCGTAAGCATGAAAACACGAACGAGCTCCTCCATGATAAATCGACAACTTTACGAAAGCTCTAAATAGAGCGTTTTAAGCTTTCCTAACATTTATTGAGAGGCAAAAAAGCTCACGCCTGTCTCTCAAAAACTATCAATAGTGTGATGTATCTTCTTAACCATTGCCCGGATTGGCCGTATTTCATAACGCTTACGCCAAGGGGGATGATACGATCTCCACCCCTGGTGTTTCGAAAGTAATGCAGATACACCTTAGGGGAAAACACTAGTGGGCTGGTCACAAAGAGATCTCGCGATTGGTACTAGCTTTCATGCTGTTATCAATAGTCGAATTTTCCAAAAAATCAGACTCAGATTTGCATCATGCCTACGAGACCATGCCTCTAAGGGACACAAAACTGAAGCAGGCGTCCATTTTGGTCAATATTGAGTACAATGGTGTTTATTTTCATGCATTTTGAGTACATATTTTTGATATATGACTCTGCTAATGCCGCAGTGCCGCCCCATGCGCGGGTCGTTATTATTATTTTTTTATTATCCTTTATATTATCCTTTTAGGTACGGCAGCACTGATAGCATTATTCTTTGTAAAATAACCAGGATTAGAAACAGACTGATTGATATTTCGGCTACATGCTTGCATCAAAACGAATATCAGTGGTGAAAATCGAAAAAAATTAGAAACCTAATATCAGTAGTGCAATCGGCATTTCCTGCAATACTGCATCATATAGAACTTTGGATAATGAGAACGCTTCAGCCCCCTTCATGAAGGGTAGGCACTGACATGAGTCTCCCACGATCGTAGGCGAATAGACGCTTTTTTATCTCTGCGTATATTACACAAGTGTTTTGATGAATTAGCGTATTGCAAACAGCAGATAACACATACGTTGACAAAGTAAGGAAAGTGAAAATCATTGCTCACCTAGTGGTGCGCACGGAGTCCAATGAGATTTCTCCTGCCGAAACGGTTACTTGAAATAGAAATTCTGAGCTATACCCTTCGAAAAAGACTTCGAAAAAGCTGGTGTGTTACTGCCCAAATCTGACGTGTCCGATTTTACAATAATAGAAACGTGTAAAAACATGGCAGGCTATCTTTAAAACGCATAATGCCTCGAAGGCTTCCGCCTTCCTC